GAACATAAAAAACAAAACAAAAGGTGCTTTTGGCTTTTGTTGACTTCATTTTACTTCAGCAAAAAAATAGATTCATCTTTTTTGCCTGAAAATCAAATTTGAATTTTCGTCTAATCGCAGTTTCAATGTTCATATTGAAATGGTTTGATGGCAAATTGTTGGTAAATATTTGTCCAGGTTTAAACTATAATTAGGTTAACCAAAAGCTGAAAGTATCAACAGTAAAAAGTAAGTTATGAACCAAAAAAAGAAGAGGAACCAAAATTTAAAAAGGTAACCATGATGATGGAAAGGAGGAGTTTGATGATGAAACAAGTCTTGGTTTTACCTTTGATGATCAGTGATGATGATAACGCCTTCAATTGAGCTTGTTTCAATGCTTAACCAATAAAGATGAAGATGAAAGTGATAATTAAAAGACAAGAAGATGTTGATGAAAATTAATTTTCAACTCTTTTCTTTGTTCTGTAACTGTTTTGTTTCACTGATTTAGCATGGAAATGGATTCAATGATATTTTGCTTTTGTTTCACCAGCTTTGCATGTTTAAAGTCATTAGGAAAATTCAATTGATTTTCATTCAATTATCAATTTTGTGCTCATCACTGGCATCAACCTGGTTCCAGGTTGACGAATGGGAAATTTTGATGGAATCCAGAAAAGTAGCCAATTTTGGCGTTGAAGCAAATTGAGTTGATTGTCAAGTTGACATTGAGAATGAATTTTTGAACTTACCTTTTCTTTTCTTTTCAACCTTTTTCTCTCTTTCTTCCCTCTGTCTCTCTCATGAGAAAGGACATAATTGACATTCAAGTTATTCACCTTGCAATGAAAGAAACATCAACATAATTATAGTTCGATTTGTTGTTGTCTTAAGGAAAGCCTGAAGCATTTTACTAACTAAATGTAATCTAATATAATGTATTATAACCCATCAACAGTATTTTTGGTACTTTTTTTATTTCCATCAAAAACCATTTTCACTATTTACATCAATTCAAAGTTCACAGCGACATTTTTGTTTGGCCTTTTTGTTTTTCTGCGCACAATTTGTCCAAGTATCATTATCATTATTATTATTACTATTATCATTATTATGCTTATTAAATAATATCACTGGTGTGAGACTGCGACAAAAAATGATGGCGATGATGATGATGATGACTATAAAAAAAGATGTTTATTCGCATTCAGACAAGTTTAATCATCATCTTCATTGAAATAAAAGTTTATCCATTACAGGTTGAGATGAAATTGTACTAAGATTATCTCATTATGCTTAATCTTGTTCCTGCAATTAGCTTGAAAGCTATTAGGTGAGACAATAAAGCATTTCCAGATAAACTAAGTCCGATTTCAGTCAAAGGCAATTGAACAATTAGCATTTCTGAATATTTAAGATGAGCAAATCTCAAGGAAATCTGGTTGAAAGGGTAACAGTTATGATGATCGGATGATTGGAAAAGGCCAAACAAACTGAGTCAAGTTGTTGGATTAAATAAAGTTTGATAGTCAGCTAGTTATTATTATGATCAAAATTCTGGGTTCGGTTGAATTGAGCAAAGTTTCTCTGATTGACAGTTTTCGATAAAATAGCATTCAATGTTAGCACTTCGATCGCTCTTTAACACTTATGGAATAGATTTTTTCATCAAACTAATTTTTATGATGTAAATTTGATCACCAAGAAATGCACTTACAATTGTTAGCTCGAAGAGCTATGATTCAGAAACAAATTCCTAAATTCATAAGATCTTCACTTGAACCGATTAAAAAAAGTTTAACCTGAAAAGATTGAGAAGTGATTGAACATTAATGAGAATACGAAATGCTGTGATTAGTTTCTTGTAGCACCAATAATGCAAATTGAGGAAAAATGAACTTTTCGTTGGTCAAGATGGCCAGGATTCAATCTTGATTAGAAAACCAATTGACTTACAAACCAAAAATATCTCAACAGTTCTGTCACAGTAATACATAATGATCAATGAATCTTCGTCAACAATGAAATTTCAGCAAATGATTCAAACTTTGGTTGACAAAAGCTTAACTTTGGTGAATCTGAAAAATGCTGATTATAGTTAATTTTTGCGATTCGAGAGTTTCAAGGAAATTAATCACACAAAATCAGAATATAAGTTAGCTTCAGGTTCTTACACTTTGTATCGTTTACTCAACCTGTTCAGAAAAATTTGAAAGCATTTGATCAATGAATTTTTCTAGTAAATTGTTGCAAAAAGATGTTTTCATGATGAATCGCAATTATTTGAATTGTAAGAATGGAAAAAATGGAAACTTTGAAAGAATCTCTTTTCCTTTGATTGTACTTTTCAATCTGATTTGACCACAATAAAACTGTGCGTTATCATCAAATATTTCAATTTTTGTTGTTCATTGAGAATGAAAATAATGACAAATTACAGGTTTCATTTTGTGTTTTTACATGATATCAATGAAATGATGATAACCATTTAAACAATAAAATTGCACTTTATAATCTTCTTTCATCTTTATTCAGTTTCAGTTTGATTTGGTGAAAAGAAGAAGAAGAAGAAAGGAAAATTTAAACAAAAATTTTATCCATTCAACACACCAACTGAACCTTTTCTTTGTAACATCAATAAAGATGATAATTATGGAGGTGAACATGAAAGAGAAAACAGTTTTTTTCTTCTTCTTCTTTTCCTACTTTTCCAAGTTCAATTTATTCATTGACTGAATTATCAAGTAAATGAGTAATCCAAAGGAAATTAAATTTTAAAGCGAACAAAAAATATCGGCCTCAGAACAAAAACAAACCAATTGATCGCCAATTGGATTGAAAAATTTTCATAAGTAAATTTGTGTTTCACTTTTTAGACTCATTGAAATTGAATGAGTTTTAAATTAAGGATTAAAGTTTCACTCACATTACATTGAAAAATTCAATTTAATCTGTTAAAATGAACACTTGATGAAGACTGCATTCAAAGTAAACTTTAAATCTATCAATATTGACATTAAAGTGTTACATTTTGGTCTAATGAATAATGATTGTACATCTGATTAAAGTGTATTGAGTTAGGATGAGAGGGTAAAGTTGAAAGGTTAAAGGGAATAATTTTACTTCTCTTTTCGCTTCATGTTGGTAATGAAGGTGAAGAGAAATTTTGTCAACTGGAAAATCCTTTCAGTTTCTAGTTTTGCTGTAATAATATCAAACTCCGAGACTTGGATAACATTTCAAGTTGATACACTTTTTTGTTGGTTAAAGTGAAATTTTGGTTGAAAATGAGATGAAAAGGCGTGGTAAGATGAAGATGCTAGATGATGATCTAGAAGAAGGAGGAGGTTGAGGAGGTGGAATAGGTGGAGTGGAGGTGGGAAACGAGTGGAGAGGAAGAAGAGAAAGAGTTCCGGATCAATATTAAATTAGAATAACACCTAAAATTCTCAAGTTGCAATTTAAATGTAAAATAGTATCAAAGGATCGTATGAGCATGATGATGGCTGATGAAGAGATGAGGAAGAGGAATGATGAGAAGTGATGAGAAGTGATGAGAAAAGTGTGTTATTGCACTGACTCTATCATTATTATTAGTTGAAACAACCTCTGAATTGCAATGGTAACCATTTTAAATTGGATAAGATTACCTTTTATTGTCAATTTAGGGTTATTTTATTTCTCATTTTGAAACTGCTTCTTTTGGTGAAGGTGAAGGGGAAAAACGAGATAATTTTGTTTCATCAAGAAATTCATGATTGGATGTTTAATACATGAACTTGATATCAGTTGATGCTTTTAAAGGTTAACTTGCAAGGTTCACTTATATTGTAGGGAATGGTTAATAACAATGGTTAGGGATTATTAGTGGTTTTGAGGTTTGATTGGGAAATGGATTTAGATTTGTATCTTTAAGGTTTTTTTTATCTTGATCAACAGCCTTTTGTTGTTGTACCATTTTGTATCTTTTTACATTGTTGATGGTTATGTTGATGTTTGGTGTCATTCATGATGATTGTTGGGATGACCATTCAGTTGATAAATGTTGGCTGTAGTCAGATTATTATCATTGTTGTGGTTGTTGTTAATGTGTGTTGAGGAAACGTAAAAATTGAATTGAAAAGGTTTGTAAAGTTACTGCTCAGTTGGAGATTGTATTTGTAGATAAACTTGATTGTAAATGGCTTAGCTTTAGAGTTGATGGCATTTGAAGATGAACAAGGCTGATTGTGTCAACAGCAATTTTGCAAATCTGTTAACCAAAATGATAAAATCTTATCAACATTTTCGCACAATAGTGTCAGCGTAAGCATACTTTTTTAAACAAGATAGAAGTATCAGTTTCTGGTTTGATCATTGATCATTGATCACTAGATAAATGACTGGAAAGGTCAACTTAAATTGGTAATGATAACATCTTGAGGTGAAAGGTGAAGGTATGAATTGAAAAGTCACTTTGTCACCATCTTGAAGCAAATTAACCGCCAAAATGAACGAGGTGTTGCTAAGACGACATAAATCTTGAGCAACAGTTATGCTCTCATGAGCCTTATTTAAGTAAATCAGTTGCTAGTGATTGACTTATTTTTGTCAATTTATTGCTCCAATTAGTTTGATTTTTAATTTTTAATCCTAATGTATTGTTAATATCTATTGATTAGCCGTTAACTGTGAGGTTTGAAATTACAAGATGACTTTTGCTTCCTTTGTTTTAAGCTGATTTATAAGAGGACAAGTGTTTTGATTTAAAGATTCATCGATTTGAATTCAATGATTTCGCGAGGCAAAATACTTTGTATTGTAAGTAACTTACCTTTATTTTGATCTATTTTTATAATTTGTAACAAATAATTTGAGTAATTAAAGTAAAGCAAAAACAGTGTTTTGTTTTAATTTATCAAATTTTCTATTTACTCAGAAGAATTGATTAATTGATTACAGAGTTGTTATTTTTTGGTTGAGATTCATGTTCAGTTGGATTTTTTTTCGTATTGAATTTAACACACACATACACACAATTGTGTTAATCATTTTTTAAATTTACTTGAATTAAATGAACAATTTATTGATGAGAAGGGAATTAGGAAATGAGAGAAGAAGGGAGACAAAAAAAGGATGACGAAAAGAAATTGAAAAAGTAGATGATGAAGAAAAAAAGAGATTCGATAAAATACAGAACTAAAGTTGATGTTAATTAATTAATTAATGATTAATAATTTGGTTGTCCGGTTGCTGCTTGTTGATTAGCCAAAGCTGCATCTGATTGACTGTTTTCTGAATCACTGGCTGAACCTTTTTTCCCGTCATTATGAGTTTTCTGATGCTTGGATAAATGGTCTGATCGCATGAAACGTTTCTGACAAACATTACATTGGAAACGTTTTTCTCCTGTATGAGTCCGTAAATGACGTTGAAGCTCATCAGAACGAGTAAACCTTTTACCACAGAAAAGCCAGTTACACACAAATGGACGTTCACCTGTGTGCCAGCGAAGGTGAGCCTTAAGGTGAGAAGTTTTTCCGTAAACTTTACCACATCCGGGAATATGACAATTGTGAGTTTGCTTTTTCTTTGCATGAATCCCGGCAGGACCAAGTTTCTCTGCATCCTGACAGTTGGGACAATCACAGGTTGCCCGTCCGGAATAACGACGTGTTGATCGAGGTGATGGCACTTGAGTTAAGGTGGGTGAAGTAAGAGTAAAAGGTGAGACTGCTGAGGCAGCCACCACTGCTGAAGAAGCTGAAGGTGGTAACATAGTTTTATAAGAATCTTGGAGTAAATGTTGCCCTTGAAGCAGATGAGCTGCTGCTGATGAACTATTCGCAGCGGCTGCAGCATTGGCTGCTGAGGCTGAAGCTAATGCTAGGGTTGACCCGAGACCGTAATCAGCTGAACTTCCGTAATTGGTTGATCCTAAAGATGCAGCTGCTGAGTGAAGACTGGATGCTCCCGACATGTCATGTAGCCACGAACCTGACGCTGCCGATGCTGCTGGATGAACATCCCAACAAGATGTAGGATAAGAAAGATGGTTTACTCCCGAGGTTACTTCGGTTTTAATTGGTACATGTGGAGAATGATTCATATTGAAAGTCCATTCATAAGCATGACTTGAAACACCTACGCGAGAATACATTGACCCAAGGTGAGCTGAAGAGGCTTCCGCTGCTCCGTGCATATTGGCTGATAAGAAACTTCCCGTTGATCCTGGAGTTTCGACACTTGCGGAAGCTACTGAAGTAACAACCGGTGAACCGGGGTAAAAAAGTGAATCACTAACTGCATAAGGTGAACTAACTGATCCACTAATAAGTCCGTTTCCAATTGAATTTGATCCAACACCTGGTGTAGAAGAGGATGAGTTTGATGAGGCCGAAGACGAACCGTTAGTTAAATTATTTGTATTATTGTTAACCGAGTTGAGTGACGGTGAGGCTACACCAAGTGAGTTACAAGGTGATGAGGAAACTGAAGAGGAACGTTGATGATAGCCTGAGCCAAGTGTTGTTGGTATTGGTGGTGAGGTTGGATGATGAGGATGGTGATGATGGTGGTGATGATGAGGATGATGGGTGTGATGTAAATGATGATGATTTGTTAAATGATGAGGATGTGGCGGTTGTTGATGTTGTTGTTGGTGTGAATGGTGTTGATGATGAGAATTATGATGTGGATTGTGATGAAGTTGTGGCGATGGAACTAGCGAAGAAAAATAAGAAGAAGATAACGATGAAGGTGAATGGTGAGAATTAGCTGAATCTAAATTATGAAGAACATGTTGGTGATATGGAGAAGAGCAAGAAGAAGAAGAAGGATTAGGATGGATGAAGTAAGTTGAATTTGATAAAGTTGGTAATGAATTGGTAACCAAAGGTTTACTAACTCTATCGGTTTGGTTAAAAAAATTTGACAATGAAGTTAAAATGTTATTGTTACCTGATGAGGAATTGTTGTTGCTGTTACTTGAGTTACTATTGCTATTACTATTACTGTTGATACTGTTACTATTGGTATTATTGGTGTTGTTGTTGGTGTTGTTGTTGGTGTTGCTGTTGCTGGTGTTGTTACTATTACTG